CGCCGCCCCGAGCCCGTCGTTGCCCCTGCCCCGCACCGCCTCGACGCCGTCGCCGCCCCGCTCCGCACCTCGCCGTCGCCGGCCGTACGTGAGCATTTTTTTATTTTTGTTAGATTTTTTGTAGAGTTTTTTTGTAGTTCATAGATTTTTTTGTTAGGTTAGATGTGTAGTAATTTAGATATGTAGTTCATAGATTTTTTTGTTAGATTAGATTTTTTTTGTTAGATTACATGTGTAGTAATTAATTTGTTCATATTATGTTAGATTTTTTTGTTAGATTAATTAGATTTTTTTGTTAGATTAGATGTGTAGTAATTAATTTGTTCATATTATGTTAGATTTTTTTTCTGTTAATAGATTTTTTTGGTGATATTATTATTGAATATGCATGTTTGGTGATAGTATTATTAATAGATTTTTTTGTTAGATATTTAGATTGTGTAATTAATTTTGTTCATAGAATTTTAATGATTATTTTGTTCATAGTATTTAGAAAAAGGAAAAAAAGTAGTTTATATATAGTTGAACTAGCTAGTTGATTTAATAAACTAATTTATTTTACTATATATAGAAGTAGTCTGTTTTTAGTAAGTACTACTTATTTATTTATAGTAAGTGCTTAGTAGTTGAACTAGATAGTTGATTTAATTAATAAAACTACTTTTATTTAACTATATATAGAAGTAGTTCTCGCGTCGACATTGGCGATGCCTATCCCGCATCCTCGTTGTCGTCGACTCGGCGGTGGAGGCCTGCTTGATCAGGGCCATGTTCGGGACTGGGCTCCGCCGGGCTGGTATTGGGAGGTGCTACCTTCCGGGGGACGTAGGTTGGTGAGGAGGCAGCCCGTTGTTGACCCGATCCTTGTTTGGTGGCGGTTGCGTGGGCCAGTGATGGTGGTGAGGCATCCGGACACCGCGGAGGTGGTACGTCACTGTGTCAGCGAGGAGGACGAGCACGTCCGTCGCTACATGGTTGCATTGGAGGGGAGGTTCGACAATACCTGGCAGGTTCTTCAGGGATCTCACTGGAGCTATGATCCTGTGATGGTTCTTTATCTTTGGGTGTCCACCGCCCGCGTCGATACCCGTCGGGCGCTACGGTTCTAGTTGTATTAGTGATAATATTCGACGATGTACGGACACCAAGAGATGATGTACTTTTGCTTATAATTATTGAATGCATGCTAATTTGAATACTATACTTTATTTTATGATTTGGTTTTGCTTATTTTATGATTTGGTTTTGCTTATTGAATGCTCATATTGGATAAGTTCTCCTTCATTCCCGTGTGCTAGACAATTTGGTATAATAATGCATTCCGGAATGAAAGGAGGAGCTGCGTACATCGATCATCGATAGTCAACCCGTGATTAATAATAATGATCTAGTTTAATATTTGAATTATGAACGTAGGCCGGAAATGTCGTACTCATCGGACGACGAAAACCGTCCGGGGGAGTGCGACTGGTGCCACGACGACCAAGGTATCTGCGACAGGTTCATTGAGCTGGACGAAGATCGGCGCTTCAGCATTAAGCTCGAGGAGACCTGCGATGTTCATACGGTATGCGACGACGACAATAGTTTTTTTTCATAATTAAGCACGACTTCAACTATTTTAACGTGTATTTTTCATCTTTTCCATCTCGACTAGCTTATCCCATGCTTTGCAAGACGCTATATCTTGGAGAGGATGGGTTTTGAAGACCATGAAAGTTTCGAAACCAAAAAAATTATCCTAAGTACCCATCATGGTGTGGATTTTCAAGTAAAGTTGTAGAATGCTCAGAGTGTAACCCATTTTGGTTGCAAAAATTGGGAAGCACTTTGCAAGATGTATGGTCTTGATGAGGGTATGCTTGTCACAATGGATCTTGGTGATCCTACAATCGAGCAAGAGAGACCTTCGATTTGGGTCCTTGTGGATACACCTCCAATTCTTCCCCCATGTGAGCTTAACATAGTTATTAAGTAATTTATATTGTTTATTTCAAAATATATAGTTGACAACTTATCTCCGTTGACAACTTATTTTCATTCTTCAAAGAATGTGCGGAAGATGGTAGACAGAACCTACTACACCGAAGGCTCCGAATTAACTTATCAGGAGAAAAATCATCTGGTCGCATTTTGTACTGATCTTGAGAATTACAATATCTACAATCAAACTCAACATTATGGTCAATACATGCCACTAGTGCACGTGTTGAACTACGGTAACTACCATGGAGATACCCTGGTAAGATTATTTTTTACTATTACAACATCCGTGCATCTTTTTGCACACTTCTAAAACTAGTACATCATTGCTAACTACGACGTTATTGACCATGTTTTTCAACAGATAATCCCGAATGATTGTGTGCCTCATCTGATGTATACGCATGGTAGCCTTCATGTTTTTAACATACAACCAGGTCGTCCTACGAATCTCAACTGTCCATACCGGGTTTCTAAAAGAAGTGGAGACATAACAATCAAAGAATGGAAAAAATGTATGGACAGTCGTAAGGAGCTTCTTGGAAGCAATAAGCAGTGAAGGGCAAGAATTGGAGACAGGACGATCGCCATTCTTCATAATGGAGAGTCAGGGTCTATATTGTTTTATGCTATTTTACCTTAAGGGTGTTTAGGTCCTACCTGATACTGATGATCATGTGCTAAGAACAATTATGTAGGGTTGGGTTCGATGACTATGAGTATGATGATCGTATGACTTATTATTAATAACGAGTAGAAGTTGTATGATGATGCATGATTAGTAGGACTTGTTATTATATATATATATATATATATATATATATATATATATATATATATATATATATATATATATATATATATATGATGATGATGTATGATGCAAGCATGCATGAGCATGTTATATCTGCGGGTGCAATGAACATAGCAGCAGCGTTGATAAACCAAGGACGAAGATATAAGAGAGGACACTTCTCTCTATTAGCTAGCTATAATAACAACCTAAAAATAACCCCAAAACCCCTAAAGCAGCCAGTTTTGAACTCTACTTATTTTCAGTTCAGAATCTCCAACAAGATATGCATGTGTTGCTTCTTTTTTTCTAGCTGGCCAAGCAAATGATTAATTCCTAGTGTGGGACATTCAGTTCAGAATCCCCAACATGATATGCATCAAAGTATGTGTTACTTTCCTCTCGCTGGCCAATGAATGGATCTGTTCTTCTTAGTATGGGCCAGTCAGTTGGTCATGATATCGTGGACTCTTGTATGAACTTACAAAGCTTAAGGTGATTCAAAGATTGATGAGAATTGAGGACTGGGCAATAGCCTAGTGGTGGTATGTGACCAAATTTTTTTGTTGTTGTTGTCATCTCTGAATATTCACCTTTTTTTGGTTCCTGCCATGTTCTGGTTTTAAGTGGAACACATTGAAGAATTCAGCAGTATTATTGCGCCATATTCTGTTCTATGTATATAATGAGGTACCTCTTTCTCCTTCCAGTTAGACTCTGTGTTGTTCTTCTGTAAGCAAATAGGCATACTTCTTATTCAACACCACATGCAGTACAGAACCAACAAAGAAAGAGACGCTAATACCAAGTTCAGAGAACTAATAAAAGAAACAGGCACCATTATAACACAAGTTCTAAACTCATTGCATTTTTTTTATCTATATATAAACTGATAAAAGAAGTTCTGTTACAAGTTTGTGGCTTGGCTTAAAATTCAGAAGCATTTCAAGTTGTTCATATGGGCTGTGTCGCTGACAGCTTTGAGGTGGAATCCCTAGCTAAAAATATTCTTGTAACTGAATTTTTGAGCATATTGCCTTTTTAACAAAATACTCCCTCCGTAAAGAAATATGAGAGCATTTAGATAACTACTTTAGTGATCCAAACGCTGTTATATTTGTTTGCTGAGGGAGTACAATGGAGTAGAGGTAGCTGGTGTGTCATTTCAACTTTCAAGTTCGTCTTTTGGTCCCTACATCTTTTATTTCTCATTTGTGTGCTCCCATGTGTGGAACCTAAATACCTCTTTTCCTACTACGAGGGTGTGAACCAAATTTTCCTTTGTAATCAGGCTCAGCTGATTGTCTACAAAGAATTAATACTCTAAAGCAAGCATCTGCTTTCCCCCAAAGGTCAAGAAATAAAGATGCCCCAGTTGTTAAAGTGCTATCTTTCATTAGCTTTCCCTGTTACTTTGTGTCAAAAAAGTAACAATGCCGGATCAGTGCTGAGTAGTTTATTTCTGATTAGGCCACATGATTGTCTAATAAGAATACAGGCTTGTGCACACCCAGTGGACGTGATAGGTTGACGAAGTAGGTAAGCGATGCAACCATCCATCGATCAGTATTGTGAGTAGTACCTAACACACTCACTTGTCCCCGCAAGAAAGCCAATACCAACATTGTCTTCCATTTCCCCCCCAGAAGCAAGCATCTGCACCTCTAGCTTGTTCACACCACCATTCTCTTCTCCACCCTGGACTGCAATTGTGTTTCCCTGTGTTCTGCGTGTGTTGTGAGCTCTGAGCATTCCAATGGCGGAGTTGGTGGCCACCATGGTGGTTGGACCACTGCTGTCCACCGTGAAGGAGAAGGCATCCAGCTACCTGCTGGACCAGTACAAGGTGATGGAGGGTATGGAGGAGCAGCACAAGATCCTCAAGCGCAAGTTGCCGGCCATCTTGGACATCATCACCGACGCTGAGCAGGCTGCTACCCACAGAGAAGGGGCCAAGGCTTGGCTCGAGGAGGTCAAGACGGTGGCCTACGAGGCGAACGATATATTCGACGAGTTCAAGTACGAGGCGCTCCGTCGTGAGGCCAAGAAGAAGGGGCACTACAGCAAGCTTGGCTTCGATGTAGTGAAGCTCTTCCCTACCCACAACCGATACGCGTTCCGTGACAAGATGGGACAAAAGCTATGCAGGATTGTGGAGGCTATTGAGGTCCTTGTGGCTGAGATGAATGCCTTTGGTTTTAAATATCAGCAACAAGCATCGACATCCAAAGAGTGGAGGCAGACGGATCATGATATCTTTGATCCAAAGAAAATCATCAGCAGATCAAGAAGCCAAGATACTAGGAATATTGTTGATACACTACTTGGTCATTCTAGCAATGAGAATCTCATGGTTCTTCCCATCGTTGGAGTGGGGGGGCTAGGCAAGACCACCTTAGCGCAGCTCATTTACAATGAACCTGAAGTTCAGAAGCATTTCGGGTTGTTGATTTGGGTTTGTGTCTCTGACAACTTTGATGTAGATTCCCTGGCTAACAGTATTGTTGAAGCAGCAACTCCCGACCCAAGTACATCAGCTTCCAAGAAAAGTACAGTGGATCTGGATTCCCTGGCTAACAGTACTGTTGAAGCAGCAACTCCCAACCCAAGTACATCAGCTTCCAAGAAAAGGCCCCTGGATAAGCTTCAGGATGTACTAAGAGGGCATAGGTATCTCCTTGTATTGGATGATGTCTGGAACCGAGAGAGCGATAAGTGGGAAATTCTCAAGGCTCGCCTTACACATGGTGCCAAGGGTAGTGTGGTTCTAACAACTACTCGTGATGGAGGAGTCGCAAAAGTAATGTGTTCAGTGAAACCCTATGATCTCGTAGAGTTGGAGGACGATTTCATAAAGGAAATTATCGAGACAAGAGCATTTGGTTTGCAGAAGGAAAAAGAAAGGCCTCCCGAACTAGTGAAAATGGTTGGTGAGATTGTGAAGAGATGTCATGGCTCTCCATTGGCTGCAACAACACTGGGCTCTGTGTTGCGTACAAAGACCAGCGTAGAGGAATGGAAGGCCATATCAAGCAGTAGCAACATTTGCACCGAGGAGTCTGGAATATTACCAATACTCAAGCTCAGCTACAATGACTTGCCATCACACATGAAGCAATGTTTTTCTTTTTGTGCTATGTTTCCCAAGGATTATGAGATTGATGTGGACAAGCTTATCCAACTATGGATCGCACATGGATTTATCCAGGACCAAAAGGAAAGTCCGTCCTGAGACAATTGGCCAACGGATTTTCAGTGAGCTGGCCTCAAGGTCATTCTTTGTGGAAGTGAAGCAAGTCCGAGTCTCATTCAACGAGCGTGGGAGGAGGGATAATTATTCCAAACATACATGTAAAATCCATGATCTCATGCATGATGTTGCGCTGTCCACAATGGAAAAAGAATGTGCTCTAGCACATGAGAAACCAGATCATATTGAGTGGCTTCCAAATACATCTCGCCACTTATTATTGTCTTGTGCACAACCAGAAACTGCTCTGAATGATTCTCTGGCGAAAAGAACTCCGGCTATCCAGACACTTTTGTGTGATCGTTATTATATGATAGATTCATTGCAGCATTTATCAAAATACAGCTCTTTGAAGGCATTACAACTCTGTATAAATTTGAAAGGGTCATTCCCCTTGAAATCAAAGAAGTTGCATCACCTAAGGTACCTTGATCTCTCAAGTAGTCGCATCGAAGCACTTCCTGAAGATATAAGCATTCTATACAACCTGCAAACATTGAATGTCTCTGACTGCATTGAGCTTCGCAGACTTCCAAGTCAAATGAAGTATATGATTTCCCTTCGCCACCTCTACACTCATGGTTGTCGGAGCATGAGGAGCATGCCTGGTGACTTCCAAAAACTCGTGTCACTACAGACACTTACATGTTTTGTAGCAGGTCCTACTGGCTCCGAGTGCAGTGGTGTTGGAGAGTTGCATCATTTAAATCTTGGTGGTCAGCTAGAGCTAAATCAGCTAGAGAATGTGACAGAAGAAGATGCAAAAACAGCAAATCTCGGGAAGAAGAAGGAACTCGTAGAACTGACATTAAAATGGAGTGTTGGTTGTAGGGATGATGCAAAAGTACTCGAGGGCCTCAAACCTCATAATGGTTTGCAGGCTGTAAGGATCGAATCGTACGGAGGCACCACTTTTCCAGCATGGATGGCTATGTTACAAAACATGGTTGAGATCCACCTTTTCAATTGTAAAAAACTGCGATGGTTATTCGGTTGTGATACATCCTTCACTTCTCCAAATCTGGTGGTGTTTACACTACAATATCTGGAATGTTTGGAGGGATGGTGGGAAATAAAAAACAAGGAACAAGGAGAAGAGATAATATTTCCTCGTCTTGAGAAGTTGTCCATTGTTCGTTGTGGAAAGCTGACATTGTTACCAGACAGTGAAAAGATAACGGCATTATTGGGACAACAAAAGGTTTTCCCAAAGCTGACAATGAAAGCTAAATCACCAAAGCTCAGTGTGTTAGACATGGAGGGAAGTGAGGAAGATATGTTCCTGTGGGTAGCTAGACATATGGCTTCATTCACCAAGCTGACACTGAAGAACCGTGACGTGGAGTCAACCTCGGCGGTGGCCGATCATAGTTTGACAGAAGTGGTGGATGCCATGGAAAAATGGAATCATAAAGATTTCCCTCTGAAAGATATGGACTTAAGTGGCTTTAAGTCAGCTGTAACTGAGCTATGTGCATATTTTAAACAGCTTCAGCACTTGTCCATCACTGATTGTGCTGCGCTTGTCCACTGGCCAGAGAAAGAGTTCCAAGGCTTGGTATCCTTGAGGACACTAGAGATTTGGAACTGCAAACAGCTGGTTGGATATGCACAAGCTCCCACAGTTGAGCAATCAACAACAACATCAGAATCCCTGAGCCAACTCCTGCCACGCCTTGAGTCTCTCAATATATCGGGTTGTACAAGCTTGGTGGAGATCTTCAAACTCCCTGCGTCCCTGAGGGTAATTAGACTTAGAGAGTGCACTAAGCTCAAGTCCATATCCAGCAGGAGGCTGCAGCAGGGAGAGGAAGCACCACCTATTCTTCAAGGGTCTCCTGTATGTTTAGAAGATTTGGACATATACGGTTGTGATAGCTTAATTGGGGCCCTCAATCTTCCCCCTTCCCTCAAGAAAGTAAGCATTTACTGTTGCAGTGAGTTGACATCAGTGGAATTTCAGTCGGGTGTGATGCCATTGTTGAAAGGCTTCCAAATCGCTATATGTAAGAAAATATCATCCCTACCGGATGGTCCGCAAGCATACCCATCTCTCCGAGGACTTGAGATTTACAGGTGTCCTGGTATAAAGAGGCTGCCTACATGCCTGCAGCAACGTCTAAGCAGCCTTAACGTGGTAGCTCTAGATGCACATCATCAAGGTACGTGTGTCGGTTTCCTTGTCATATTTCAGACATCCTTTCCTTTCAGATATATGGTGCTCGAGCTGGATCAATTGCTCTAACTAGGTAGATACACATAATTAATGAAGATGATCTTTCCTTTTGCGTGTGTGACAGTAAACATGTGTTGCATACACGTGCACAATTACTAGTTACGACTACACTAGAGAAGTAGAGAGTACTCCCTTCGTAAACTAATATAAGAGCGTTTAGAATACTAAAGTAGTGATCTAAATGCTCTTATATTAGTTTACAGAGGGAGTACATTTATTTAATCATAGCTAGTACGTAGTTAGATAATGGTAAGAGCACACAAACAAACCAAAGAATCAAAGATAAGCATGACTAGCACTACAACCCAAGAATGGGGTGTAAATATTCCTTTCCTGTAATTTCTATGTTCCTTGACAGCACTCTTTTAGTCTTTTTCTGGTGTAAACTTTGATGCCATATTTACAAATTTCCTGTGGCATCATTTGTGGACAGAGCCTAGTGTACTGAATCCCAAGAGTTGGAGAAACGCCTTCCGCAGAGACTAGCGTGCTGTCAATATGCAACACCATCATCGATCGTGGGAAGCTACCAAGAAGTAGCAGGAAGAGAAGAGCTCTCTTCTTCTAGTGTCGATTGTGCTTGTGCGTGTCTCGGTTGCACAAGTGTTTCCGCAGGGACGGACGGATAATCTAGCTGGAGTAGAAATAATGATTGGCCTGGAATCAGGATAACTTTTCGTGTGTCGCCACGCTTCCATGCACGTAGATTAATTCGTTCATATGCTGAGGGTTTGGTGACACTCGCTGTATTTCTTGTTCCAAACAACGTAGCAGCAGCAAGTTTATGCCATGGCTGTGGATGAACACGGCCTGTGTGAATGGTTTGGGAGCTCAGATAGATAGATATAAATGTCTCTAGCTAGTTGTGTCATCTATATGCGTTATGTTCGTTTGAGAGCAAATATGTACAGACAGAGGATGGAACAGGCAGCCATGTATGCGTGATGTGTGTGTGTGTGTGTGTGTGTGTGTGTGTGTGTGTGTGTGTTGTCAGTATATATCTCTATGCACGGCGTGCCATCACTAATTCCTCAAGGGAAAACAAATATGCTCTCGAACAATGTTGTCATTCAGAACATGTGTGTTGTCATTCAGAACATGCTTGAACAATATCATTTTCAATTTCTATATCCGTCGTCGTTCAGATCCTGAAGTTACAGTTGCGGTCGCTGGGTCGGAGAAGGCCAGCACCACATGGAGGAGCAGCCGATGGCGTGTTTTATAGAAAATGTTCACTTTTTCAAAATAAATTTCATGTTTTCTTAAAAAAATCAAAGTAAAAACCAACTGAAAACTACAAAAAAGAATACCAGAAGAACACGCATTCGTTTTTTATTTTTTTTGAGCGGACACGCATTCGCGAAAGAATGAAACGCGCCAGAGCTGAGAGTCGCCTGCTACATGGGCCGACCCGCCCGCTGGCACGGATCGTAGGTGGGCTTGGGACAGGCTCCAGCCGGCCCGTATTTACAAGGACTAGACTCCTCTTCAGGGCTCCCAAATCCGTCCTCGAAGCAAGCGGCCCATAGTCAGACACGCATGTTTTGATAAAAAAAAAGCCAGACACGTATGTCCTCCACCGGCGACGGAGAATATGGCGCGCCGCCGCCGCCGACACGGCGGTCCTGGAGATCCCCGACGCACCATCTGTTAGAATATATTGTATAGAGATAGGAGAGTAGTTTAAATTCTTCTTCTATCTTATCTCTTCTTCTGTTAAAACCTCCTGTACCGAACCTGGATCGATCTCTCTCCTCTCGATCAATCCTTTCCTTGTAAGCCACGGCATGCTCTCGATATATACAATGCCGCCCAGACGAAGGGTTCTACGCTTCCCAAATCATCTCACATGGTAACAGAGCCTCTTCCTCATAGATCAGGAATAGATCGCATCTAGCTACCGCAGCGACCGAGCAGCATGTCCACCACCGCCGCCGCCATGACGGCCAGCACCATGGGCATGCTCACCACATCATCATCACCCGCCTTTGCCTCCTCCTCCTCCACCTCCACCAAAACCTCCTTGCTCGGATCGCCACCCCAAGAGAAGCTCACGAGGGGAAATTTCCTTCTCTGGAAAGCCATTGTGCTGCCCCAGATCAAGGGGGCCCAGATGGAACACCACCTCAACCCGTAGAGCCCGCCACCACCGGCCACGCTCACCATCACCAAGGAAGGCAAGGACGAACAGGTCGTCAACTTTGCACGCTCCCTCTGGTATGCACAGCAGCAGCAGCTCCAAGGATTCTTGATGGGATCCCTATCCCGCGAGATCCTCGCACAAGTCGCCACGCTCTCTACGCCGGCCGAAGTATGGAGTGCGATCCACGCCATGTTTGCTGCTCAAAGCCAAGCTCAAGCCATCAACACGACGCATTGAGCTTACGAATCTCCAAAAAGGTAATATGTCTATGGCAGAATGTCAGGACCCCGACTCAATGCCACATCGATCTAGCATGTAACACCTCATATCACTTTGCGGCCTCACGCACGGTATTCCCACGGGTGTCGCCTTACCTTTGCCCGGGACCGTTTGCGCCTTTTGGCACACGTATATGACAGTGTCGCTAGCATCCATATGATAAGGAGCCCGGGCTGACATGACTAGTCGTAAACCCAAAGTGGCACAGACTTACAGGAACAGGCATCCATGACCCAGCTTCGAACGTGTCAGTCATCAGCAAGTGAAACCAGGCTGTAGCACTGGGCTAGCAGGACTCCGGTGAACCGGGCTGTAGCGGGCTAACAGGACTCCGGTATTCATCGCATGACATTTCCCCGAAGGGACAGACACAGGAACGAAGAAGGACACATGCCGGCCAGCCTAAGTGTTCCGGAGCAGTAGCAAGCTACCATGGCTCGGTGGAAACACTAGGAGACATTTCCCGGTAAGAGAGGCTACTAAAGATAAACAACTAGATGGTCAGATCCCACACATACCAAGCATTTCAATAACATACACACAATATGCTCGATATGTGCAATACAACATGGCATCACAAAATGACTCTACGACTCAAGTAGTTTATTCAATAGGCTCCGAGGAGCGAGATATTACAAACATGGGTCTCACGACCCAACAATCAGAGCATACAAGTCAAAGCACAAGCGGAAGCTATCATGTCTGAGTACAGACATCTATAAATGAAAAAGGCTGAGAAGCCTGACTATCTATCAGATCCTGCCGAGGGCACAAGATCGTAGCTGAGGTATCAAGCTAAAGTCGAAGTCCAAGCGGAACTACTAGTGAGACTGAAGTCTCTCTGCAAACATAAAATAGGCAAACGTGAGTACAAATGTACCCAGCAAGACTTACATCAGATCTATCTACATATGCATCATTATCAACAAAGGGGATGGTGGAGTTTGACTGCAGCAAGCCAGCTTTGCCTCGGTGGCTATCCTAAACTACGACTGCAAGTAACTCTTTTGAGGTGGCGCACACGAGTCCACATATTCACCATATCAATACACCACTATGGATCCGCTCCCGTCTCCCTACGAGAACGCCATCCATAGCACTCACGCTTATCTTGCGTATTTTAGAGTATCCACTTTCACTTGTCTATGAACTGATATAAGCAACCCAGAGGTCCTTTTCCGTGGACACGGCTATTCGAATAGATGATGATAACCCTGCAGGGGTGTACTTCTTCATACATGTTTCCACCACTTAGCGTCTGCACACGACATGTGCTCGGCAGACTTCAAGCGAAAGCCGACGTGGGTGTAGACCACGACCTACCTAAACACTCAAGTCTCTAGTCCAGGTTTATCGCCTATTCAGGTTCCATCCGCAGGGAGTCCGGCCGAGGTTTCCCATACGGCCCCGAACGATGTGAACAGGGTTCCTGAGATACCTAACGGGTATTCGGTACACCGTGCCACGTACCTACCGCATCACAGCCCACCCCTACGGTCAGCGGTGTCCACGGCCTCCAGTAAGCTACAAACACCAGAAACTACTTGCAACTCCTGGACAGAGGACTAGGGTGAATAAGAAGTCGAGCGGGGTCATATTTCAGGGCCCAATGTATGGTAGTAGCTGAGTCATGGATCACAAACACAGAACTCAGTTCCTAAGGACGGCTTCAATGAGACAACCCACCATGTACTCCTACATGGCCTCTCACCGACACCTTTTACCAAATCGTGTTCACACACTTAGCTCACACACAGTAGGACATGTTCACACGCCTCTGATTCATCCCCGATGAATCAGACCTGACTCAACTCTAAGCAGTAGCAGGCATGACAAGCAAGCATGAATGAGTAGGCACAACAGGGCTCAAACAACTCCTACTCATGCTAGTGGGTTTCATCTATTTACTGTGGCAATGACAGGTCATGCAAAGGATAAGGGGGTTCAGCTACCGCAGCAAGTAACAGATGAATCGGTGTTGTCCTAATGCAGTAAAAGAGAGCAGAAGCGAGAGAGTGGGATTGTATCGGAATGAACAAGGGGGTTTTGCTTGCCTGGCACTTCTGAAGATAACATTGAGTCTTCATCAGTGTCAACGATCACATCATCGGTACACGTCTATCGAGAGGGGACAAATACCGGCAAATATAGAAAAGACACGATCAATGCAATGCACAATATGATGCATGCTATGACATGGCAATATGAATGTGTTTTGGGCTAATGCACCTAAAACCAGATTAAATGAAGTTGGTTTGAATACAAGATTCAAATTCAAACTCCGTATGTGGTTATTTAAATGTCATTCACTTCATTTGCCCTAAACAGTAGTGATAAGTTGTTCTAACATGCATGAAAATGGTACAGATGGATTCCTTGAATTTTTCTGATAATTTTTCATATATAATTTATTTAATTTGGAGTTACGGTTAATTTTCTATGAATTTTGGAAGTTTATATAATTTTCTGGAATTTATAAATCATTTAATAATTATCTAAATTCGAGAAAGGAATTATTGCGTCAGCACTAGGTCATGCTGACCTCAGCATAGTCAACAGGGGCTGGTCCGGGTCAAACCTGACCAGTGGGGCCCACTGGTCAGTGACAGGGGGTTAACAGGGGTTTATTTAGTTTAATTAAGGATTAGGACAAAAGGGCCCACATGTCATTGTCCGTAGGGGGGTTATTTAATTAAATTAAACTAACTAATTAACAGGGGGCTGGCCCCACCTGTCATCGACCCAGGGGGGGGTTACGCCGTGGTCAAGTGGTCAACCCCACCGGCGGCTTGACGCCGGCGAGGCCAGCCGCGGTGGCGAGCCTCGGGTTTTGCCCCCAGGGCTCAGTTTGGCGCGCGGAGCACAACTTCGGGATGCGGACGCTCGTCCGCATCCAACTGTGGTGGTGGCGCGGCCGGGGAGTGGCCGGAGTGGTGCCGGCGACGAGCTCGGCGGCGGCCGAAGCTCGGGTGCAAGTGGGGATGGGGCTGCGGTGCGCAAACGAGCGCGGCGAGGTTTCACGGAGACTCTACGCGATGCGGGGAGCGCGTTGGGCGCATGCCCG